TTTTTTCGGCTAAAAACGCTTTCCTGTACATGGTCATTTGTAGGCTGTAAAAACGCCTTACAAATGCATGGCTTTCTTTGTTGTGAAAAACGCCTTCCAATGCTTAAAAAAAAACAAAAAAACTTTACAACAAAAAAGTCTTACTCTACATGCGCTCATCCTTAAAAATGAACAATCTTATGTAGCGACAGTAATCATGACCTGTCTGTTCGTCGAATGGTTTATGCTGCTGCGTCACAGTGCAGAGGTGCAAGGTACGATTCCGGCTCCGGCCTACCTGTGTGTTCTCAAAAATGTGCGTGGCCATCCATTTTCTGATCCTCTTCTCCGCGATCACACTCACCCTTATGGAAAATCTGGAGTCCTCAGTACCTCCCTGGTAGTCGAATGGTAAGTTCGTTGGCGTTGTGCGGTGACGTTGTGCGGTGGCGTTGCAGGGTTCGATTCCGACTTCGCCGTTCCTGCACGTTCTCAAAAATGTGCATGGCCGTTCATTTTCTGATCCTATTTGCGCTTACACTCCCACCAGGCAACAATTTACAAAACGCCTAATTATACTGCACATGTGTTTTTGGGCTAAAAACGCCTCACTATACATGGTCTTTTTTTTTCGACTAAAAACACCTTACTATACATGGTCATTTTTTTCGGCTAAAAATCCCTTACTATACATGGTCGTTTTTTGGAGGCTAAATACGCCTTACTATACATGGTCTTTTTTTCAACTAAAAACGCCTTTCTATACATGGTCTTTTTTTTCAGCTAAAACACCTTACTCTACATGGTCGTTTTTTTCGGTCTAAAAACGCCTTCCTATACATGGTCGTTTTTTTTTTCAGCTAAAAACGCCTGACAATACATGGTTGTTTTTTTTTGGCTAAAAACGCCTTTCTGTACATGGTCTTTTTTTTCGGTTAAAAACGCCTTTCTGTACATGGTCTTTTTTTTCGGCTAAAAACGCCTTACTATACATGGTCTTTTTTTCGGCTAAAACGCCTTACTACACATGGTTGTTTTTTCGGTCGAAAAACGCCTTACTCTACATGGTCGTTTTTTTGGGGCTAAAAACGCCTTACTCTCCATGGTCGTTTTTTTGGGCTAAAAACACCTTACTATACGTGGTCATTTTTTTTCGGCTAAAAACGCCTTACTATACATGTTTTTTTTTGGGGCTAAAAACGCCTTACTATAAATGGTCGTTTTTTTCGGCTAAAAACGCCTTACGATACATGCTTGTTTTTTTCGGCTAAAAACGCTTCAGTGTACCATGGTCGTTTTTTTGGGGGGGGGGGGGGGTGCGTGGGCTAAAAACGCCTTACTCTCCATGGTCGTTTTTGTGGGCAGAAAACGCCTTACTATACATGGTCGGTTTTTTTTCAGTTAAAAACGCCTTCCAATACATGGTTGTTTTTTCGGGAAAAAAGGCCTTCCTATACATGGTGTTTTTTTGGCCAAAAACTCCTTAATTTACATGGTCGTTTTTTTTTTTTTGGACTAAAAACACCTTACTATAAATGGTCTTTTTTTTTTTTTCAGATAAACACGCCTTACTATTGATGGTCGTCTTTTTTGGCGAAAAACGCCTTCCAAAACATGGTCGTTTTTTTTGCAGGAAAAAACGCTTTCCTATACATGGTGGGGTTTTTTTCGGTCAAAAACGCCTTACTTAAAACATGGTAATTGTTTTCGGCCAAAACCGCCTGACCATACACCAGGGGTGTCAAATTCATTTTTGTCGCGGGCCACATTATAATTACCGTTTCCCTTGAAGGGCCGTGATGACTGAAACTGTATAAAGAAGTCAAGAATAACATTTTATTAAGCGTTTGGTACCAAGAAAATGCTTACAATATGTCACTGATTTATTACTTATGAAAATTTGAAATTTTGGTACAGCTTTTAGCAGGCATCGTGGAAGTTGTCATCTTTGATCTGCGTTTGTGGGCCACTTAAAATGATGTGCCACATCTTGCCCCCGGGCCTTGAATTTGACACCTGTGCTATACATGGTTGTGTTTTTTGGCTGTAAAAACACCTTACTATACATGGCTGTTTTTTTGCTGTAAAAGTGCCTTACAATACATAAAAAAATACCACAAAAAAAAAAAACAAAACACTATACATGGTCTCATATTTCAAAAAATGGCTTACTATACATTTCCGATAGTTTTTTTTGTGAATGCAGATTTTTTGGGGGGTGTTTAGTTGTGGCTGTTGTCCGTCACAGGTGATCCAGACAGTGAGCGGCGTGGACAAGGACGAGCCTCAGAGCGGCCACCGCTTCTTCTTCTCGTTGGACGCTGCCGTAGCCGCAAATCTCAACTTCACCCTGCGGGACAACAAAGGTGAGCATGTGGTCGACGAAGCGCGCTCCCGCTGACTTGCTCGCTAAGCTCCAGTATGTTGTTTGTGACTTTGCTCGTGCTTTAAATACAAAACATGAAAATCAAATTTCACAATTTGTTTCGTTTTTGAGTAAACCTTAAACCGGGAGTGGCGCTAAACCATTTGTATTTCTCAGGGACTGAATGCATGCGTCATCCTTTTCGCGCACACGTTCCTTCCAGATAACACGGCATCCATACTGACCAAGCGAGGCGGCTTCCGGAGGCGGGAGCAGCCGGCGTACCGGCTGCCCGTGCTGATCGTGGACAGCGGCAGCCCGGCACTGAGCAGCACCAACACGCTGTCGGTCCGCGTGTGCGAGTGCGACGCCGCCGGTGCGCCCCTGTCGTGCGGCGCCGTAGCCTACACGGCCACCGGCCTGAGCACCGGCGCCCTCTTGGCTATCTTGGGATGCATCCTCACGCTGCTGGGTAAGAAGTTTGCGCCAGCTCCTCTTCCCGGGCGGGTGCAGGTGGAGCACGCCGAGGATGGCTGTCGGTGCGGGGGTGATGCGTTTGCCTTCCGGCTTTTTGACAGCCGCAGCCCTCGCTTGAGAGACTGACTCCTGTAAGGAGAACAACAACCAGCTCCCGCTGCACATGCTGAAAATCTCTTGTCCCTAAAATGACCCTGAAATTCATTTCAAGATCTTAAAAAAAAAAAAATGCCAGCAACACAATGAAAATTTTTTCAACTTGGCACAACTTTTTTTTTTTTTTAAACATTTTACGTATACACATACACAGAATGCTACCTGTTCGAATGTATGCTTCCGACTGTCTATCAGTCTGGCGCCATGACACAGAGGAGTCTCGGCCTGCCCTTGCTGTCAACAGTTGGCAAACTGGGATTTCAAATGTTGCATCGCTACCTGCTGCTGTCGGTTTGGCTCGTTTCCACTCCTCAAGTGCCTGCAATTGAAAGGGCATCGGACGCATATCAACACCTCCCAACAAAAAACAAACAAATAAAAACGTTATCAAATGAACTCACACCTTGAAATTAGCTGCAACCAGTCCTGAACCGACCCCGTCTCTCGCCCAAAAAATTAATGCTAAACAGGATAATGGATGACTTCAAAATGCAGATCGTCTCCAAGTACAAATTTTCTAAAAAAGAGACTGAGAATTTCAGGGGGAGGGGGGGGGGGGGGGGGGAAGGGAAATGACCCCTTGCTTGGACCCTTAGCCAGATCTGCTTCAAGATTTCAGAGTTCCCAAATAGGGTCAAATACTGGAAAGTGAAGACGATACACAAATAGCGTCAGAAAGCAGAACCCGAGTGCCGGCAGAGTGAATTCTTTGCAGTCGAGATCCACAACAATGTTGTTGACTGAGCGCAAATGTCACACTTTATTGTAGCTGCCGGAGGAGGTCAGCTTCGCAGCGCCAGGCTCCCCGCCGCCCCGCCCACCCCCGCCCGCTTTTTTATGAGATTTTGCTCAGGGGTCGCAAGAAGGCCAAAGCCAAATCTCCACTCCGGTAAACACGGGTGACCCGGGTTAGCCGATTCTGAATAACAGCCTGCATGTTGACAAGCTCAACGGCACTGGAACCCGGCCAGCGGAATCAATTAGTCTATGTTGCCTCTTGGGTTTTCTGGCTCATGGAGTGTTTGCTGCTAGCTGAAGATGCAACACTTAGCATTTTTTTTTTTTTTTTAAATTGCGCTCACCTTGACTGCACAGGCAACATTTAACCCCATTTGTTCAACCCTGGGGGATATTCATCATTGAAATAGATTTTTTTTTTGTGTGTGTGGGGGGGGGGGGTTGTTTACTCTTGCAAAAAGCAGCCACATAAATGATAAGTGGTTAACCCACTTGACCTTAGAAAGCGACAGACAAAGGGCTTACATGCCGACTCGTAGCTCCTACCATATTTTTACAAGCTGTCAAAAGGCACGCTGGTCCAAATAGGGACACTCGGAACGGGACGGGACAAAGGTGGTGCGAGGAGGATAAAAGGGCACAGGACATTCGGCACAGGACACATCAGGTCTATCTTTGGTGAAGCAGCATGTGGTTCGGGAAGGTCCTCGGGGTACAATAAAGTTTGGTGTAAGTCACCATGACCGTAAACATTTGCAGGAAAGGCTGCAATGGTGGATGGCCAACTAAAATGAAACACTGCCGCACACAAACGCACAAAATGTGCGGATAAAACTGCTGCGTCCTGAGCGTCCACGCAAATCACCCCTTGAGGTTTGCATTTTTTTCGTTATCACAGAAATATTTCCGCTGTTTTTTTTTAATGAAGCATCCTGACAACTATCCGGCGCCTTCATTTAGCCGCGTAGGTGCTCAATCCCCACGAGGGCCAATTAGGACGTGATGTAGCACTTAAAATCGTTCTCGTCTAAGCTCAGACGTCCACCGCGGTCTGTCGTCTCGTTGGAGCGCTGTCTATCTTCCGTCTTCACACGGCAACCATTTGTGATCTTTTGGGGCTTGACGGCGGACAGCGTTTTGCCGGCGAAACAGACTAATTGTTTGTGAAAGGTAGAAGAAGGAGAAGAGCAAGTCATTTTTTGAGGACCGCAGTGACAGTTTGGCACAAGTTTACAAAAGACCTTTTGAGGTTATTTGAGGATACGGGAAGGAAATCATGAAAAAGGAACAAGACGCGCTTTCCTTGTTATTCACGTTAGGAAAAACAGCAAACAGATTTGAAGCGGCTACTAAAATTACCCCCCCCCCCTTATTTTCGCATTTTAACATTGAGTGGAATTGACGCAGTCAAATCAATGCTCAAGTGTCTTTTGTGCTCCGTGAGAAACAGTCACTGCATTTTCGCAAAGGTTGCTGCGGAGCATCTGGACTTTTCTTGCTTGTCGAAGACGTTTGACCTTTCATCCGAAAGGCTTCTTCAGTTGCACATTTTGTCGGAGTGGGATTTTCCCTTTTTCGTCCTCTGGAGGTTGCGCTATGATCACCCGCTGGAGCAGCAGGCCGTTGACGTGGCTGGTGGCAAAACAAAAACAAAAATGAATGAGACCATCTTTGGCGGGACATGAAAATTGCCCCCCGCGCCCCCCCCCAAAAAATTTACATCCAATTTTATGGACTGCCCAACTGGACCGGTGGCGCCTGATATCTTCAAACTGGGCTCATTCCTCGTCGGCTCGTTGACTGAACATTGGCTGGTTTCCAGGCTGCCTGGCAGGCATGAAAGCTTCAAGAAGTTCCCTGGAAAGAGCAGAAAGTCCTCTATTCACTCTCGCCCGCATTCATCAGAAATTAGAACACGCTCCCGCAAAATCTTGACTCGAAATGCTTTTTTTTTGCACAGATGCCATTTCACAAGAGTGTTTGGTGGAGCACCAGAAGTCCGCGGCAAGGCGATGCGCATTCATCTCCCGCATCCCTCGCTCGCATTTTCTTCCCTTTGCTACATTATTAGCGACTCAAGTGGGCTGGAATCTTTTCCTGGCACCCACCACCCAAAAAAAACAAACAAACATGGGCCCACGGAATGATATTTCACTGGCAGTAGCTTTGACATTGATGGATGGAGGATCATTAGACGTTTGCCAGTTTGCTTGGGCGGAGTTATTTTCGGCCGCTAACGTACGGCGAGCAAGAAGCCAGGCTGCTTGGATCTCAGACGCTTCCTGGTTTCCGGGCAAAATGGAAGATGGCAACAGGCGGTCGATATAAACATGGCAGTTATGCCGTGGGGCCCCTTGGCTCGTTAGAAGAAATATCTTTCGACCTCAACGAGATGCAAACACAGTTAGCTTATTTGGCTAATACCGGACGTGCTCCTGACACAAGTACGCGAAAGTTATGGTTCCGGTTATTCTTCCTGAAGAATGACGAATCGGCGTTTCTGTGCAGAATAACAATTGCGACGGTACATTGTGTACTTGGTTGAGTGACAGAGTACATCAGTTTGGAGTCGCTTTTGTTCTCTTGAGACGCATCCAAACTGCGCCTCATTTCCTTGAATTGCGCCTTTGAGCCGCAGCCGCCATCACTTTGGACAAATTAGCCATCAGGTTGGCCATTATGCCTTCTCCTTCCGCACTTCGCTCTCTTTTGCTAATTGTTGGAAATGTCAAGATGAAATCTTGCATTTGCGCCCGGTCTGAAGTGTCCCTGAGCTGTTGCTAATGGCGCCGTCAAGAATTTGATGGCGCGCGATGGCTGCTGGAAGAGCGCCGTTTGTCACTCGATATTGACGACTTCATCTGCCGCCTGTCTTCCGCAGTGATGGTCCTTCTCATCGTGACCGTGCGTCGACGGCGGAAGGTTCCGCTCATCCTGGAGGAGGAGCGCGACATCCGGGAGAACATCGTCCGCTACGACGACGAGGGCGGCGGCGAGGAGGACACGGAGGCCTTCGACATGGTCACCTTGCGCAACCTCAACGCCATCCGCGACCCCGGCGTGCGGCGGGACGTCACGCCGGACACGCCCACTTTCTTCCACTACACGTCTTCGAGCTCGACGGCGGCGGCGCGGCCGACCTACAAGTCGCTCCCGGACAACGTGGTGTTCCGCGAGTTCATCTGGGAGCGGCTCAAAGACGCCGACGTGGACCCGTCGGCGCCGCCTTACGACTCGCTGCAGACGTACGCCTTCGAGGGCAGCGGCTCCGTGGCCGACTCGCTCAGCTCGCTGGAGTCGCTCAGCGCCGACTCGGACCAGAACTACGATTACCTCAGCAACTGGGGGCCCCGCTTCAAGAAGCTGGCCGACCTGTACGGCAACGCGGACGGCGCCGGCGCGGGTGACGGCGCGAGCGGAGGGGGAGGCGTCTTCCCGAAGCCTTTGAACATCGGAGGACGACACTGACGGATGAGAGATTTATCGTGAGACGATTTAGTCGGGGAGAGATTCAAAGACAAGACGCAGCGAGTCGAGCGAAAGACTCTTCAAAAAAAAGCTTTGGGGTTTGCTTACCGCCTTTGGATGCACACGCCTTCAAATGGGTCGACGACGTTTCAAGATTTCTCATTGAGGCTGCGGTACAGCAAGCAGGAGTGTTTCCACATGGTGCGTGATGGCGCGAACTGTCCTCCCCGCCATCCTTTCGCGATCTAAAAAAAAAAAAAAAAAAAAGAGAGATGATCACCGGGCAAAAATTTGTCCTAGTTTGTCTTGAACTGAAGTTGAGTCAACTGGACTCTTGACGGTTGAGTCCAGATGCCTCATTTCAACTTTGGCGGATGATGACCACGACCCGGACGACCGAGACTTTCCACAAACGTCCACGACTCCCAAAAAGTTTCCAGGTGGCATTTCAGGAAGAACCTTCGAGGCGCCGAGAACCTTTCCCAGCTCAACTTTTGAACGCACACGTCCCGACTGTTCCGAGCAGCATTTGGACCTGCGTTCAGAAGTTCAAATCAAATTGATCCCGCACTTGAGGTTCATCCTGAAACTTGCGGTGGGTAATTTAAGTTTGTCTTGTTTTGATGGAGGGGTCGGGGGGGGTCTCAAGATAGTCGAGCATCATGCTAAGGAAGTGAACCAATCAAAAGAGTGACAGCTTGATGTCTCACACCTCGCGATGTTCAATTGTCGCATTTGTCGTTTTTTTTTTTTTGTTTTCATATTTAATGAGTCTCCTGTCAAGCCTACTTGGCTTTGCAAGACGGGCTTGTTCTTTCTTTTTTGGGGGGCGGGGAGGGGGAAGGGGGTGGACACCATTCTTATTGCGCTTGATTGTGACACTGACACCACTTAGACGCTTAGAGGACGAAGAGTGCCAGTCGTACGCCAGCAAGGTGCAACTTTGAAGTTTTTGCTTCTGTAGTCCAGCATATATTGGTCACCTGTATTAATGGAACACAAACTGTATGATAATCATGTGGTTTTCTTTTTATTTCCCCCCCACACACTTTCACGTACAACTGAATTGGGTGTTGCTATTTATTTTCAGCAGGCAGGATTGTGACTTTTTATTCTGTCTTTTTTTCATTAAAATAAAATTGCTACAAAGTCAAATTGCACCGTTTTACGCGTCTTATTCTAGATACTGAGTCAAAGTCTCTATCTCGCTCTCTCTCTAAAATATATTGATTTTTTTTTTTTTTCCAATGAATCAGCTCATTAATGCAAATTTTTGTCTGCCCAATATGAAAATCAGCATCGGCCTAAAAAAAAATCAGTTGGGCCGTAGTTAGGAAACACAAACAAGCATAAGTGTGCGATAAACCAATCTTAGCATAAGTGCTAATTAGCATGCGGCTAAGTGCTCTTTGTCGTTCGCATATGAGACAAACACTCGTAGCGGCACTCCAGAGGAGAGTCGCTGGCAAAACGTGGAGTGGCCTAAACAGCGGCGGGCAACGTTTTCGAAAGCTGTCACTCAAAATCAGGAGGACACGGGCGACACGATGCTTGCCTAGAGGGATACTTAGCGGCAATCAGGCGAGGCTAGCCGCTATCAGCGCCAACATCGAGACCTGCGCTGATTGCCCGCGTGAATGCCGTCCGCCTGCCTTTCTTATCGCAAACCAGCATCAGCGGCACAAAATTGGCCCGACGGAGAAAGGCCCGAGTTCCAGACGGTCGACGCGGCCATGATCAAATGCCCTGGTCTTTGTGATGTGAAATAATGAGCCAGAGAAATCATTTCAAAACTTTTTCCAACATTAATGTGAAAAATGAAATCGCTTTTTTTTTTTTTTTTTCCACCAGCATTAATGTGCTCTATTCGGCAGGTGTTCTTCCAACTTGGACGGCAACGTGCTTAGCAAATGCACCAAACATGCACGAATGACATTTTGCACCGGGCCAATTCAGCGGCAGCTAATGCTAACGTTAGCGCACGTCCATCGGGAGCAGCAGCGGGAATTGAACTAAATAAATAAATAAATACTACACGTTAAATGGCAATTCCGGAATGTAAAGTTTTTCTATATTAAACTTTTTTTTCCTTGCCATGAGTCTTGAAAACTTTTCTGTTTGTTTATTACGCATGCGGGTCATCAATTCAGAGGAGACAGCCCTGCCACGATAATTCAAGCTAGTCCAGACAACCAAAGTTGGAAAAGTCAATTTTCATGCTCCGTTTAAAAAACATACACACACAAAACGCAATGTGACCCCGAGTCAAGTCAACTTGAATATTCATATGTGTGTGGTCAAGCCGGCAGCTAACAAAACAAGTCCAAAGCGAAGTCTTTCTTTTCTTGTGGCTTCAGAGAACCAGAAAACATATCAAAGAAAAAAAAAAGAAAGGGGGGTGGGGTGAGGGGGAGGGCTGTACTGGACGAAGGCTGGTCGTCCTGAGCGAAAAAGAAAAGGCGGCAGATCACAAAGAAGTCAGAAAAGTATCGCGGCACATCGGGCTATGCTTTTATTTTCTTTCTCGGCAGAGTTCACAGTGGGCCGGCCGGCCGGCAGCAACGCCGGCAAAACGCTCCGTGGCCGCCGTGTTTGCGCAGTGTATATTCTTGCCATTGAATATTTATAGCAGCGCTGCCAGCTCCGCATTTTCAGCTCCATATGTATCGGGAAGGTGGGACGCACGCGTTTGCCATGAAAAAAAAAAACCATCGGATTTGGAGTGAAACCAATAAGACGTGCGCTTCAAGTACGGGCGCTCAGCTTTGATTTGAGCGCGTTTACACCCAAATGAATTCAATGACAAGACTTTGGATGATGTATAGCGGACAGCCGGCAATTTGTCCACGTGAATCTCGTTGCTTATCGTTACAAAAAGTCTGCGTCAACACAAGTCCAGTGATGATTTATTTATTAAATCAAATAGAAAGATGACGGCCGCGCTACAAGCTGTCAGGACGACACGGGTGCTAATTAGGCGTAACCGACGGCGGCCTCGTTAGCGACGCTTTGTACTCCTACGCGTTTTCATCATCATTAGCAGAGTCGGGATTGATGGCGGGCTCGATGCGTGGGCGCTGTTAAGTGTTTGTCGAGCACGTTGACATGCTGAAGGTTCGCATGCCACAACGCGCCGGGCGGGCCCTGCGGGGTCGAATCGACGCTGCGAAGATTCGCCAAATATCAAAAAGGTTGCGTTGGGCCTCCTTGTTTGGAGGCTTGTCGCCACCCGCGTTTCCGATCGGGGGCGCTTGCGAGGCCAGCGGCGGGACGATTCTTGACTCAGCAGCGCGTACTTAATAATCACAAAGCCACAAACCCCTTTCCATTCTTTTCTCCTCAAATTTGATTTTTATCGTCTCGTAAAAATGTCAATCATGATACAAATTCTAGTGTTTCTGCTAAAATTATTTTTTCGTCTTTTTTTTACATAAATACTTTCAAATACATTTGGTAAATTCCAAGAATTTCCTTGTAAACTCAGTTAAAAGAAAAATCAGATTTACAACTTCACATTTTCTTCCGTTTTTAGTTTTATTCCTAATTAAGGTTTTAGATGGAAAATAAAATCAGTTTTTTCTTGTAATACCTCAAAAAATTGGAACAAGATGTTTTCTGGGAATTCAAAAATGTTAGTTTTTTTCAATACAGTATAAAAACTTTCTTGCTCATGTTTCCATTCCGTTTTTAATTTTCTTCCTTTCAGTTTTTTTTGTTGTTAAGTTTTACTTTTGTTTCACGTGCAACCCGATATATACCAACTTTTAGGGGTGTAGCATTTCAATTTTTGCAAACCTTTTCATGAAATGTTTTTTTCAGCAATTTTTTTTTCAGGTGAACGTTTCAATTTTGGACTCGTTGGGAGTCTCAAGATTTGTCGGGATGGTTTGTGAGGGATTATGCATTGAAATGCGAGCGATGACTAAATTTTCTATCAAAGGGCCGATTAAATCCTTCAGCGGGCTTTCAAGCACGGCTGCAAATCCATCAGCAGCTGATGGGGGCCGTTTACGACATGACGGCGCATCGGCATTTGGCACCGCGCTATTTGTTTGAGCTTATTAAACACAACACACAGATTTGCCCCGCCCCCTCTCTTTTGCATATTTTGACATCCAGTCGCCCGCTGCGCCGTGTAATCATTCTGCGCTGCGAGTATAGCCTTGGCTTTTGTAAGAAAGAAAAAAAAAAAGTACACGAGAAGAGCAAAATATCCCGCTTGCGTTTAATTGAGTTTGACCAGGACTTTGCTGTGTCGTGCTAATCTCGCCGCGCGGCAGCCGCCACTTGCTGGCTTTCTCCGATCCCGACGAGACGTTCAACTTTGAAGCCGCCCGCCCGCCCCGCTGCATTATTTATGACACCGCTGCGACGAGAACATCTTCAAATGGCCAGTCATCACAATGGCCGTATGTCGCACGCGCCGCACATGCCACGAGTGGGGGCAAGAGGGCTCGGGAAACATTCGGGTACTGAGCCAAGTCTCCCAAAGTACCGGGAGGGTCAACGCGAAAAGTCACACACCTTGGACACTATACGAAGGGAATAGCCCAAGAGAATCAAGTTGTAATATTAAGGGGGAAAAAAATGGTAGTTGTACAAGAAGTTTTAACATGTGACTGTCCCGATGTTTTTATTCCTCCATATCTCGATTTTTTTTTTTTCCCCATCACTGAAAAAATATATTTTCTATAAAACCGATTATTAAAAATCCCTCTGTACTGGAACGGCTAAAAAAATGTTTCCTGTCTTCACAATTAAAGAGCTGAGTAAAAAAAAAAAAAAAAATGTTCTTGCAATTTTTAATGGGTAGATTTGGATTTTTTTTCCATGGATTTTTTTTTTAATTATAGCTTCACATATTTAAAAAAAAAAAACAATTTCTTACAAAATTCAGAGTCAAAGTTAAGAGTGAGTGCTGAGCATTTTCACCCCTCATAAAAGCACTTTAAAAAAAATTATCTTACTTATTCTCAGAGCACACAAATTTTTGTTTCATACTATCAGAACTTGTTTTTTGCCACGAAACAGTGGCTTGTAAATGCCGACTCCAAATATTTCCGCTTTTGAACTTCTCTTCATTCCACCGTAAAAGTTTTTGGAGGCGTTGCATGCGTGTAAGCTAATTGTCCTTGAGAGACAGCAGCGTCGTGTTTATGCTGGCTGTGGGCATGATGAGCGCCCCCTGGGGGGCCATCGCGGCATCAAGCGTCACGGTGTCTCTCCGTCGGCTGCCGTTTCGCCA